AGTAGCCTCAGAGCTAAGATTTTGATATTGGGAAATACTAGTTCTCCAGTCACATTCTTTTTCAAGATTGTTTTGTCTATTCTGGGTGCCCTGAAATTCCCAATGAATTTTAGTCTGGGCTTTTCTACATGCCATCCGGATTTTGACAGGAATTGCATTGACTGTATTTTATTTTGGGCAGTATTGATAATTTTAACTCATTAAGTGTTGCGATCATGAACACAGGGTGTGTTTCCATTCAGCCATGTAATCCTCAATTTCTTTCAAAAGAGTTTATTATAGTTTACATTGTACAAGTCTTTCACTCTCTGGATTAAGTTGATCTCTTTTGATGTGACCATAAATTCAACATGATTTTATGTTTTGACTTTACTATTTTACCTTTTTATTTCACTAAAATTCAATCATTCTGACATTTTTTTTTGGTGGAATCACAGAATTTTCTATATTAATGATCATACACCTGTACATAAGATAATTTACTTCTTCCTTCTCTGCTAGGATGTCTTTTTAAATTTTCTTCTCTAACTGCTTGGCAAGAATTTACAATACTGTGTTAACAGTGTTAAAGTAGGCATCCTGGTCTTAGCCCAGATCTTAAAGGAAATGCTTCCAGACTTTCACCATTGAGTGTAATATTCAATATGGGTTTTTACTAATATGTGCTTTTATTATCTAACAATTCCCTATTCTTTGAACGTTTTTACTGTAAAAGAGCACTGAGTCGTGTGAAATGCTTTTTCTGAATCAAGTGAGATAATCAAGTGAATCACCTCCCATTAATTTTGCTATTATGATACAATGAACTGACTGATTTTCATACTTTGGATCATGTTTACATTCCAGGAATAAACTGTTTGATCAAGCTACATAGTTATTTTATTTGAGATAGGTGTTCTTTCCTATTTAATATTTTGGAAAAACCTGAGAAAGACTGATAATTAGGTTTTTAAAAGTTTGGTAGAAAATGAAGAATGATGTTAAAAAAAAAAAAGTTTGCTAGACTTCACCACTGAAGTGACCAGATTCAGGGCTTTTCTTTTTTGAGAGATTTTTGATTACTGCTAATATTTCCTTACTATTTATAAGTATATTAATGTTTTAAATTTCTTTTTTAGAAATTTAGCCATTTAGTCTAAATTATTCAATTTGTTGGTATACAATAATTCATAGTACTCTCTTATCTTTTTATATTTTGTAGAATTGGTAAGTAAGATCCCTGCTTTCATTCATTTTGGTAATTGGAGCATTCTTTTTTTTTTTTTTTTGAAATCTATCCAGTTAAAGGGGCCTCCCAGGTTAAGCCAGCACTATGAAGCTATCCCCATCCACTGCAGCACAAGTCTGACCCCTGGCCAGGAGCTGACCTACATAGTGGAGCAAACCTATCTTGTCTCATCCACAGCTCCCTTCAGTAGTGTATTACAGTCAATCTGCCTGACCTGATCCCCACTCTGTCTTTAGTGAATCCTCTTAGCCCCTTGTACCTCTGGCCTATTCCCCAGCTCTTGTATAAATAAGTAAATTTTTTTAAAGATTAATTTATACAAACATTACTTGGGTACAGGTCAGAGATGCAGGGCGGTGATAGTAATCACCAGAGACAGAGCAGGGAGCAGAACAGGCAGACTAATGGAAGTACACTGCTGAGGGGAGCAGTGGGAAGCAGGAGAGGTTTGCTGCACCCTGTGGATCACCTCTGGGGCCCGGGATAAAACTTGCACTGCAGCCGTTGTGGCCAGATTCACAGTGCTGTGCTTTAACCCACTGCACCACAAGGGAGGGTCCCCATAAATGAATTAAAACAAAACAAAACAAAACTATCTGGGTAAAGGTTTGTGAAACTTGTTGATAATCAAAGAACCAACTTCTGTTTCATTGAATTTGTCTACTGTTTGGCTTTTCAGAATTTCCTAACAGAATTTTGTTGTTGCAATAGAAAAAAGTTTGTATAAGAGACTGTTATTATTCTAGGACGATGTAAAATAAATCTGAATTTAGAAGGTGATAGGCAAAGTTTCCATCACATAGTTTGATACTGCTATTACTAGATGGGAATTAGCCAATAAATGGGCACATAATATTAAATACCTTTAATAGATATGAGAGTGTCATTTCATTGCAGAAACTGAGTATATTATCAACTACCACTTCAACTGATTGTGTGTATGAAAAAAACATGATGCATACATACATACAAATACACACACACACACACACACACACATATATTTAAGTACTTTGGCACATAAGATGAGTTATTAACAAAAGTCAATTGTCTTATTTCCTCCACAAGAAGGTTAGCAACATGATTTGAATTGCCCATCCAGTCCAACAGTTTGTGCCAAATAGTATGTGGTAGTTGAAAAGCTACTATGCAAAAAAAAACAAAAAACAAAAAATACTGTATAATTATTCACGACTATAAATAATCTGGAGCAAATCCATGACAATTATGTGAGGTTAATTTCTTGACATCAGTGCACACAGATGCACTGGTAACATATTTTGGTAACATATTTTAAAGAAATTCTTAAGAAAACAGTCCTAAAATGTCTGTAAGAAGATTATAGTCCAAAACAAAACTTTTATTAAAAACACAACTAACATTTAAAGAGTAAAGTCAGTCACCCAAGCAGAATCATTTATAAAGTAAACAGCAATATGAAATGATTTCTGTTGGAACCATCAAACATGTAATGTCTAATGCCTGCTGTCCTGTCTTTAGTCTAATAAAATTATTTTTTATGGAAATGGTATCCATTTCTTCACAGTATTAAAGAAGCTGTGACATTCCTTCATTTTAAAAATGACCTCTTCTAAATAACATACTTAGGGGATGGTCAGGAAATGAAGACTGGAAAGTGGATGAATGAGATATGCTTATTTAGGAAAACCTTTCTATTTCCTAAGTCACTTTAAGTATTACTCTACTAAATAAGACAACAGACATGTTATATTCACAGTAGCTTTCAGAATGGTAGAGAAGGAAATAGACTTTGTTGGTATACTAAACACTCTTAACACAAAGTCTGCATTAATTGGTACATACAATTAAATCTGAGTAAAAATAATAGTTGCTATTTCAAATGAACCCTTCAGGCAGTATCTTAGTGGTACCAAAAAAAGCTGAAATATTTAGCGCATGCTAGGAAAAAGGTACTTAATAATAAGTAACTTCATAATAAATTAAAAAGTTAACTTTATATATAAATAAACCTGACTAGCAAAACACTGTATTTCTTGTTCACATTTAAAAGCAGTTTGTTTTATATTATATTAGGTAAAGACAAAGGAAAATCTTTATTGTGTTATTCTTACAATAAGCTCCTTGTCAGACATTTTATTTTGCATGAATCTCAAAACACTCTATAAACAGTCTGAATATTCCCACTTAGAGAATTTTAATCCTTAACAAGCATTTTAATAAAAATAAGTATAGTATTCAAGGGACTAAGATATGATGAATTCTCATATTCTCTTTGTTCTTTCTCTCAGCCTTTAGCACCACCACACTATATGGAATATATTAGATACCATGTCCATTTTTGCTTACAATAGTATTTCCTTGACAGAGTACGTTTTCAATAAATGTTTTGGTAATTATGCAATTTTCCTGTTGAACCATGCCACAATTCAATAGTGGTCATTAGTATTTTCTTCTGCTTATTGCCAGAGGCAAGACAATAGATATGGAAGGAAATGCAATGTCCGAGATTAATCACTTATTGATAAATATGACTCACAAAAGTAAAAGTTAGGTATAGATAAGAAACTAAAAGGAACTGGCTTACTATTTCATCAAGAATAAAATGAAATTTTAGCAGGTGAAGTTTCTGATTAAATGAAAGAATAAAAACAATATAGGTATAACTTTGGGCATGTACCCCCCCCAAGGTCTTTAAGTTGTAGTAAGAATGACAGAATATTTCCCACAAAAACAGCTTTCTTTACTCATAAGGTGAAACTAAAGCAGCGTTAAAAACACTGAGAGGGGGTGTTTAATTATCCTTAGAGTTGGGTTGTTTTTACTAAATTGTATCACAAAAAGAAGATATCATAATGGAAGTGATATTCTGGGACTCATGAGCATAGTCTAAGAAACCTTGCAATTTTGCATGTTTCTTTAAACATTCTGTCGGGTACCCCTCAGTCATCAAAAAAAAAAAAAAGTCTATCTACTCCAGGCCCACCATGCTGGAGTGATCATGGATAGTGCTCTCAGTTCAGAATCAGCCTACAATCCAATCATTGCCACCAAGGTGCAAGGTAGGTCAAGCAAAACAGTTTTAGGCCTTTTATGCTAGCTTGTCAATCAACACTGACCCTCTTTTTTTCCTTGTGAGACAGAAAAGATACTCAGCCAAGCCTTTGGTCCATTTCTTGACTCACAAATTATAATATTAAAAAATTGTTGTTTAAAAATTGTTAGCCCTTTTTTTTTTACACTAACTTGTCACAAAGCAATAGATAACTGTAATACTTAGAGATGAATACTAGTACCACCTGAAATAATTCTTAACTATCTTGAATTTATTAATTTCCATCTATGCATGAAATTAAAGGCCTTAGTGGTAATTATTTCAAAATCATCATATATGTATAGTATCAAAAGCCTCAGTTGACCTTTTTCCCCCTCAAATATTTTTTTTCAGTTATGGTTGACTGACTGTTACCCTAAGAACTATCTATCAAATCTCTATTCTTCTCTAAGAGTAATCAAATCTGGAACTCTCAAAACAGTGTTAGAGCTCAGTAGAACAAAAAAGCAGGAGGCAAATAGAAGACATATTGGCCACATATACATAAAAATAATTGTACAATACAAACAAGCTAAAAGCTAGACTCAATAAGTCATTCAGTTCAAAATCCAGCTGGTATCCATGACCCAAAGAGTCAACTTACCCTTTTAGTATTCTGAAAGTGACATTTGTATTATTAAGAATATACTTATAAATGGAACATTTATTATTTGTAGTCTAAGAGAAAATCCTGTTTACCTGCAAATCAATATTGTTGTCAATGCAACGTTCATTCTTCTCTGCCAAAATCTTCCCATAGTTATCTGATTTGATAAGATTTTCAACTCTGGTTGTATCTTTCACTTCTGTGTCCAAATCCTTCATTGTTTCAGTTTCATTGTTTGCAGTAACAGTATCAGACATCCTCATTAGCAAAGGTTATTTTAGAATTCTACAAGGAAGTTGAAGCCTAAGTTAGAAAAAAAAGAATTCATTTTAAGATATTTCTTACATTCAGTTACTACATAATATTTTTATGTTCCAGAAATGTTGTGTATATGTGCATACACACACACAGTTTAATGGCTAACATGTTTAAATGAAAAGAAAGTCATAAAACTATAAGAGCTATGATAACAGCGAGGTGATTTTGATGCATGTATTACTTGGGCAATTAAGGAATGACACAAGATGGAAGGTTTTAGAAAGCTATATATACATAGATGATATCAGAATTAATTTTCCTTCTAAGAATATTATGAATACATTCCTGTGTGAAAAATATTTTCCTATAGCTTTCCTCTGGATTCCTAAAATTTTCAATTTCCCTACAATTCTGAAAGGAAATAATTAAAAACAAACAAAATATTCTACATAAAACACAATCTGCATTAATGCCCATTTAGCATTATAAATCAAGCTTTGAAAACTCTCCTGACTTAGTGATTTTTTGCCAAATAAAAGATTTTATCATCAGATCCTCTAGTATATGGACTGCCTAGGAAATCAAATACATAATACATCAATATATTTCATATTTTTAGGGAGTTTAAGAACACAGTGGGGAATTTACACAGGAAACAAAATAAGAATGTTTTAGAGATAATAGTCATTTAAGACGTGAGAAATGTGAACTTGAACAACAGAAATTAATATAAATAACTTTATTTCCTAGCTTTGAGACAGAACTGTCACAGACTAATGTGTAAATTTAAGGAGTACAGTGAATATGTGTGTGTGTGTGTGTATATACATGTATATATACATATATACACACATACACATATATGTTAAGACTAGTTAACACACCCACCACATATACTTCTATTTTTTCTATTTTTTTTTTGGTGGTGAGAACAAATTTTTTTCCAAAATCACAAAGAAAATTAAGCCAAATTCATGGACATTGGGCAGATACGGGTTAAAGCAAGGATGATAAAATGTTAATGACAGAATCTAGGGTTAATTATACAGTTTTTCTCTCTAAAACTTTCCAACTTTTCTGTAGTTCTAAAAATTTCATAATAAAATATCCGAGAGGAAAAATAAGTAGAACCTGTCTAGTCTATATTGATCTCGAAAAGTCAAGAGTTCTTTTCCTGAAAGAAACTATTTAGCTTCAGGACTTCATAAACACATTTTGAAAAGTGAAAAAAATTAAAAGAAATAGAATCTGAGCCATAGGTAGACTATCTTGTAGAAAACATTCTTTCTTACCTATAACCAAACTTAACTGATTCATTCTCAAAACAATAAGGTTACCAAAGTGGGAATTACTTGAAATTCTCTCGCTCCTTGCCTTTTATACTTAAAATTTTGAAATAAAAAGGAATGCAGTAAGTGACAAAAAAGGTTTACCTGATATGTTCTATGGATTTGAGATTGTGGTGTTCCACAAAAATAAAATAAAATAATCCAAGGTTCTTTTTCACAGTTGTCAGCCAGGATGTTAATTGTATTGAACCATTTGGAATCTGGCAGGAGGAGTCCCATGTCCTTTTCACCACTGTAGATTCCTGGACTGAAATGGACTGTCTTGGAACAAATATATCATACCTTTCAGAGGCCTGAAATTAAAACAAAATCAAACATTTTAACACAAAAGCCAAGACAAATGGAAATGACAGTAATTCAATAATTAAAAATACTATTGTTGGGCCTACCTGGTGGCGCAGGGGTTAAAGTCTTAACACTATCAAGCTATCACAAAGCACTGCAGAACTAGTTTGATCCCGAGCCAGGGAGCTGACCCACATGGCACAGCAGACCTCTCTTGTCTTGTCCACTACTCCTCTCAGCAGTATATTTCAATAGATATACCTGTTCTGCTCGCCACTCTGTCATTGGTGAATCCTCTCACTCCACTACAACTCTGGCCTACATCCCAGTTTTTACATGCATAAATAAAAATAAAATTTAAAAAATTGTTGATTTTCTATCTTCTTGTTCTGAATAAGAGTTATAACTTAGTTACAACTAATTACGTTATGTACTATTTATGTTAGGACGAAAAGTCACCAAGACCCCTGAGAGTGTTTATCAGTAAAGGTAGAAGGAGAAGCAAGGGAATTAAAACGTACTGAAAACCTAATAAGTGTTTAGTGTTGTAAATAACTCGAAGTTCTATATGTCAGTAGCTCTTCCCTTTTCCACCAACAATTTTGTCTTAAACTGAATAATACAATTTCAAAATGAAACTACTGAGCATAAGATTTAAGAGCTACATTACTAGCACTGCTGAGCATGTAATTTACAATTACACTAATTCTCCAAAATCTATTTTGATAGAATTATGCAGTGTAAAAATTCAACCCCAAAAGTTTAAACATTCTATAATTTCATTTATATAACTTCCTTGAAATGAAAAAATTATAGAAATGGAATACAGATTAGTGGTTGCCAGGGGTGCAGTCAGGTAGGTAAGGATGGTCTATAAAAGGGCAACACCAGGGGTTTTTAAAATGATAAAAATTTCTGCATCGGGCCCTCCCTGGTGGCACAGCACAAGAAGCTAAAGCCACTTCCGCATAAGTTCGATCCCCGCCCACCCCGGAGGTGATCCACATGGCGCAACAGACCTCTCTTGACCACCGGCTGCTCCCCTCAGCAGTGTACTTCATAGATCTGCCTGGTCTGCTCCCTACTCTGTCTCTGGTGAAGTCTCTCACCGCCCTTGCACCTCTGGTCTGTACCCTAGTTCTGTATGCATAAATAAGTAACTCTAAAAAAAAAAAGTTCTGCATCAAGACTATGTCAGTATCAATATTCTGGTTGTGATACTGAACAACAATTTTAAAAAATATTTATTTATTTATGCTTACAGAACTGGGGTATAAGCCAGAGGTGTGGTGAGTGAGAGGATTCACCAGAGACAGAGTGGGGAGTAGAACAGGTATATCTATTGAAATACACTGCTGAGGGGAGCAGTGGGTGGGTTAGGAGAGGTCTGCTGTACCATGTGGGTCGGCTCCTTGGCTGGGGATCAAACTCCTGCTGCAGTGGCTTCTGAGAGCTTCATAGGGTGGTGCTTTAACCTTTGTGTCACAAGGGAGAGCCCTGAACTATAGTTTTATAGGATGTTACCAGAAAGGGAAATTGAGAGGGAATCTGTATATTGTGTTTTTGTCAATGTCATGTGAGCCTACAATGACCACAAGACAAAAAGTTTATTTTTTAAATAAGGTAAAACAAACACTATTTGAAATATAATCACTTAGAACTTTGTTCAAACTTTTAGCTTTCACATTTCAATTTCACTATTTGGACTAAGGAGTAAATGGCAAGAAGCTATTGTTAAAAAGTGACATTGTCGGCCCTCCCTGGTGGCACAGTGGATTAAAGCACAGCACTAAGAAACTTAAGCCACTTCTGCATGAGTTCGATATCCCCCTGCCCCTGAGGAGAGCCACATGGCATGGCAGACCTCTCCTGCTCACCCGCTGCTCCCCTCAGCAGTGTACTTTGTTGATCTGCCTGCTCTGCTCCCCACTCTGTCTCTGGTGAATCTCTCACCCTCCGCATCTCTGGCCTGTACCCCAGTTCTGTATGTATAAATAAATAAATCTTAAAAAAAAAATGACATTGTCACTTCAATCAGGCCAAGTTTTCTGGGTGGCTAAATCATATAACTAGAATGCCTTTTTTTTTTTTTTAAAGTTCTACCAAAACAAAAACATAATTTCTCTCATTTTTAACTTTAACTTGTAAAAAATTATAAACACAAGATGGCAGTACTCACTAAGTAGCTAATTTTTTTGTATTCTCTATAAAGTTTCTTGGTGATTTAATCATGAACCATCCAAAGCCATCTAACCAAAGATGCGTAATTAATGCATGTTTAGCTACCCCACCATTTGACAACAGACTACATAAATGAATGGCCTGAACCACAATAACCAGTTATTTCCAGGAAAGAAGGCAGTGGTCCAGTAGAAACATCAAGGCAGGAGCATTAGACTTGAGTTTAAATCCCAGCTCGGCTAAATGACTTTGGCACATAATCTCTTTTGAGTCACAGTTTTCTGATCCGTAATGTGTGGGAAAGAATAGTTAGTGCATATATTTATTGTGAACTCTGAATGTTTTAAATGTAATGCACCCAACACAGCTTTTCTTTGAAGTGAGCAGACACTGCAAAAATGTAGCTCTCTTCTAATGCCTAAATATGAGAGGCTACAATCTGGTGTAGGCTTTTACTTTGTTCTGACTGCACTCCATATTATAGACAGGAGATCCACTCTGGGTGCAGCTTTTCATACTCCCACCTTTTCTTATGCATTTAACTCACAAAGTTCAACAGGAGAGAAAAAACACTGGTGTCTATGTGAATATATGTATAGATGGAATAGGGATGGGGGAGTAGCTTCAAGGAATTCTCATTTTGAGCTTTCTAATTTAACACTAAAAATTCATACAGACTTTGCATTCTTTTCTGAAATACTAATGAGTTTTTCTAAATAAAAATGTCCCCCTTACACCCCTTCCTGGGGCCTCCCAATTCTTAAATAAAAGATATTCTAGCTTTTTGGTACTCTTAAAACCAAACAAAACCAACCCTTTCATCATGGCACAAAGTCTACACTTCTAGGGTTACTAAAGGTTGTGTGGACATGTGAGTGTCAAATATAGGAAGCTACAGATAGACAAGGCACATCGTATCTCTGCCACAATATTTAGGAATCAATTAAATGAACAACTCTAACATAGTCAAGTAACACCGTAAGTGAAAGTGATTATCATGAATTTTGTCAGAGAGGTAACTTAAGAGTAAACAATGAATCAGGTGTTGGCATTTACTGAGTTCATATATTTGAGCATGTAGCATTACTTATGTTTAAAAATTGAATTTTTCAAAATCAGTTTCAGCGCTAGGGTAATCGGTAAATGTTCCCAAAACTCTAATTTAACTTTGAAAAAACATTCTCCCAATCACAAACATGTTTATAGAAACAAATCAGAATCAACTAAATACAATTTCTGTGCTACCAGGTAGTCAATGCAAGAGAAAAATGCATGTAGATATATACAATAACATTTTCAGAAGCAAATGCACGAAACACTGATGCCTATATGGTACATAAACAAAAGGAAACTAATGATAAATTTAAAGTATTATAAACTGTAAAGTAAAATTCTGAAAGTACTAAGAAGTATTTTTATCATGGGAGGGAGGGAGGAAGGTGCGAGTCACAAGCTTGACATGTAAATCTAGAAACCATCAGAGGAATGTAATAAAACTTACAAAGATTAAAAATGTGGATATGATAAAATAAGAGATTAAGATAAACTGCACAATAAAAAAATTTTTGACACAAAAGGGTAAAAATCTGGTCTAAAGTTAAGCTCTTATAAATCAAAGGGGGGGGGAGTGACAAATGGGGAAGTAATAGAATAGGCAATTTACAAATGAAATTTATATTCCTATACCAAAATCTAATGATAACACATACCTTACTATGAGTCAGGTTCTCCTCTAATATACTTTACAATTAATTCATTCAAAGTTTATAACAATTCTAAGTAGCAAGCCCTATTTCTACCCCAGGTTTACAGTTTGGAAAATTAAGTGACAGAAAAGTGGTATGTCAAAAGTCATACAACTAAAAAGTGTGGATGAGGCAGAAAGATGCTCCAGTCTACGCTCTTATACAATATTGTATCACCATTCATATGCACCCAAAAGTTAAGAAATTTAGATTTATCAAGAACTTGATTTAAAAAGTACTTGTAGGACCCCTTGGTAGCCTAGGGATTAAGTCTTGGCACTACCATCACTAAAGCCTGAGTTTGATTCCCAGCAGGCCAGGAAGATAACCCACATATATCACTGCAGATCTATCCTGTCTTGCCTGCTGCTCCCCTGAGATGTGTATTTCAGTAAATCCACCTGTTCTTCTTCCTATTTTGTCCCTGGTGAATCCTCTCAGCCCATGCACCTCTGGTCTACACTCCAGTTCTTCTGTGGATTAAAAAAAAAGGATCAAAGAGAAAGAACTACTGTGATCTGAAAGGATTAAGTCCACAATAGGAGGTTAATGATTGGTAAGTTGAAGAATGGGGGGTAGGACACAGAAGACAAATTATTATTGGACTCCTACAGGATTATGAGACAAATTACTTTTAGGGGAAAAGTTATATGGAAAGGTAAGGTGTTAAATGAATGTACTGCATTCTGGGTGGAGAGAAGGATAAGAGAAAAAAGTCCATTTTGACAGTGTTTGAAATGGAGTTGAAGACAAAAAATTTAATATTTTCCTAGAGTTAGTAAAGACATGAGGAATGGGAATTACCAGGTACTATTAGTTCACTTTAGTAAACATACTTGCATAATCTAACATTTCCACTTCTGTATCCACGCCCTAAGGAGATTCATAGATATGTTTTAGCAGACATGTAAAAAAACAATCACTGCATCATTTATTCATTTATTTTTAAAGATTT